AGAAGCCAGAGGGCCGAGGGAGCCCACGGGCGTCATCTGTGCACGTGAGCCCCCAGTGCAGGGCAGAGGGTGGATCTGGATGGACAGCCGAGTACATGTGGCATGGTTTACAGGGAACATGTGTCGAACCGCTCTTAGCTTTTGGCCAGCCGGAGTCAATGTTCAAACTTCACAATAGAGAGCTCTGGGGCCCGAGATGGGTTCAAGTGTGCGAACGGATTCAAAGCTGCTTTATTTTGAAAAGTCGTGGTCCCCAACCAGGTCCGACTTTTGTATAATGATGTCTTTCCAATCAGGCTCTCGATCCTTCTGGGACATGTTGGTTTGTCCCCTTCCACTTCAGTGTCGGAAGCACTTGGGTCTCCTTTGAATCAATGAGGCAGGATACCTGCACTTGAGATCCCGCGAGCAATCTCAATTTTGTCCTGCTCTGCTGGACCAGTCACGACTCAGGGAGGTGATGTGTGAGAGGAATAGCCCCAGAGACCGCTCACCATTCATTTCCCAGCTTCCTTGAGCTCTGCCCGATAGCAAGGTCCTGTCGCACTCAGCCTGGCTATCTCTGCTCCCCGCGAAAGGCCTCCACAGAATTACAGCCTCACATTATGTCCTTGGCTTTTATTGAGTGTTTCTAAAAGAAATGGCTGTGAGGGAACACTTTGCACTCCGTGTACAGCTCCCCTTGAAGCCCTATCCATTACATTGGGCACTCTCTCTTGTAGTGGGCCCACATGAGAAATTAGCTTAGAGTTCAGTGCTCACAAAGTTTCTTTCTCCCCAGGTGAGCAGCTGCTTCTTTGAGTCAGATAGAGAGCTGGCTGTGTGTTCCCACTTCTGTCCTAGCTGATTAGAACGGAATTCCATCGCCAGTTGTGAGAGCTTACTAGATAAAGTGAGCTACTGTTTAGCCTTTATTTCCTTCTTTTTAACAATTGTGTGGTTGTATCTATTATACCTTTTTCAAGTTTTAAATCTTTTAAGTTGCCTAAAAAGATTTCTCAACCTAAGATCTAACAGTGTAATAATGTTGAGTTTAAGACAGTGAAATTTAAATGAGTAATTTCTGAAGAAGAGAGGAGACTAAAAGACCAGCTAATCAACAAACTGGATAAACGATAAAAATTAAGAATTACGTGAATTTATAGAGATCAATATGCATGCGGCAACCAGTCATCTTATCGTCGGCACAGAGTTTAATGAAATCAATTCCAGTGTTTGAGTTTACTTGAAACACATTTCAGGTAAATTATGAGTAAAAATACAGCTTTTAAAAGTGTCTTAGAAGTCATAATTTTTGTCTCAGAAGCAACGAAAAGCATGGAAACTGGCAAATAACCTGTGAGACACACGTTAAAAGGCAATGTTGCCATTAAAATAAGGCTTTTGACAAATCCTTAATAAGGAGGAAAGTTGGCAATAATAATGTCAAGTGAAAAAACAGATTATTAAACTGTATACATAATCCATGCACAATTCCATACAAAACAAGTAGCATACATACACACATATGCACATACATGTGTGAGAGGCAGGGTGACTGTGTGTGTGTGTGGGGAGCCCCATGGGGTAGGAGGTAAGAGCATGCAAGGGCTTTGGAGTATTCAAGGTGGGTGTTGGTCAGGCTAGTTAACTCCTAAACAATAAAATATGCTTAGTTGCAGAGGTGTTGAGGATGAATTAAAATGAGGTCTAAAAAGGCTAAAAAATATACATCATATCTAAATTATTAACAACCTATTTTCTTTTTCTTCATTATCATCTAAAATAATGGAGAGAAAATGCACTAAAATGCAAATTCACTATATCTGGATGGTGGGATCATAGAATTATTTTTATTCCAACTATTCTATACTGAGCATTTATTACTTTTATAATCAGTTTAAGAAGTGCATTTGAGGGGCCTATTTTTTGATGTTTTTGTTTCGTTGTCTAAGAAAAAACTATATATTTCTCCCTACTATCAAATAAAGGCTCTTAAAGACAGTTTTTTATTTTGTACATTGTTTTGGGGAAATTGAGAAAGGTAAATCAATTCATGTGATGCATAGCTACAACCTTGGGACAGAGGTTTGACCGAGGCTGCCCTTTGGAGCCACCTGAGAGCTCTCTAAAGCCTAAGGCCCAGGTGTAAGCTGTGTCATTTCAGTTTGCTTGTCTCGGTGGTGTGCAGTCAAGGTTGAGGGAGACCTACTGATCCTAAGGAATTACAGGTCCAAGGAACTCCCAAACGATGGAACATACCACATCTGTATCTCCAAATATAAGGTTTGACAACCTTTACAAGGTCTGCCAGAGGTTGGGCCTCTTTTCTTCCAGTGAGACCTGGGTTTATTTTTTATAGGGAAGTGAGTGAAGGGTGGATGTACTCATTCTTGACTTCTCACATAATGGCAGTGGTAGTAATGTGAGAGCTCAAACCATTAACCAACCCCCTTTGGGGAGCAATTATTATGGTGGTGTGCCCAGAGGCAGCCCCAGCCCATTACCCCTGAAAGGACCCAGTGCACTGGTGGTGTGAGGGTGCAATTTCACATTTTTTAAACTGCTGGCACATGCTCAATGGTTTACATCAGGAAACCACCTCAAGGGCATGGCGAGACAGTTGCTTTGCCCCTCGAATCATTCTCCTAGTGCTAGAGATAACAGACGCCCATGATGTGGGGCCCGTATCATAGATAGTCTTCAGTAATGTGCACGCTTGAGTTCTCAAAGCATTTGCTATTCTACTTACATTGTGAACGTGAGTGCTTTTGATTCTGGCTGTCAAGGACAGACTCTGTTCTTTGCCATTCTTTTAATAAATGGTTAATAATAATAATAGCAACAGCAGTGTATATTTGAACAGGTTTGTGTCAGAGGACTGAGTGTTGTGTCTTATAAATATACATCATTGCACTTTCATTCCAGGCTCTAGCAGAACAAGACTGAGTGGAATGTGGTACCAACCTGTGAGGGGTTGACAGTATGGTGGGGGAAAACAGCAATTTCTATAGCAGCTTGTGGCAAAACTTACATCTGTCACAATGTGTGGGGATGTGCCTAGCTGTGCTTGCAGCAGGCGGGGAAGGCTTTGTGGAGGTGGGGATATTTCCTGTTGGTGAAGGATGAACAGGTGCTAGTTAGGCAAGAAGGGAGTTCCAGGCAGGGGAAGCAGCAGGGTGTGGTGGTCATGCAGGGTGCGGTGGCCACACAGGGTGCACCCTTTGCAAGGTGCTGGAAATAGTGCATGTAAAAGGCAGGAAGTGATGAGCAGAGTTTCAAGAATGATGCCACATTGAAGGGTTTGGACTTTCATCTAACAATGGGAAGCCACTGAAAGGTCTTAAGTAGAGTGCAGAAATATTTTACTGACAGTCAACGCTTCTGTCGACCATTCATGCAGAATGCCTGGGAAGAGCCCAAGAACAGCAAGGAGTGAGAGACGAGAGGGGATGCTGCTGGACCAGGAGGTTGACAATGGACGAAAACTGAGAGTAGAATTAACAGGACTGATGACCTGCTGGGATGTCTGGCAAATAAATGGAAGAAGCTGGAGGTGACTCCCAGGTTTCAGGTGTTAGGACTAGAAACAAATAAGAGCTAGAAATAAAACTGATTTGGATGGTGAGAGATGATTAGTCGGTTCTGTGTGTCTTGAGTTTGAAGTACCTATGGAAGCCTTCAAGGTAGAGATTTCAGTAAGCAGCTGGATATATGGACTTAATTAGACTTCCAAAGAGAGGGCAAGCCTGGATATAGATCCTGAGGTCATCCACTTTCAATAATTAATTGAGCTAGATTGTGAATAAAGACAGAACTCAATTTCTCCCAAGCTAATAGATTTCTGTTAGAATGGCTTTCAAAAATTACCATAAAGTATCTTAATACTTATTTTGCAGGACTGGTTAAAATTACATAGAGGGCAAAGTAAATTTATGGTTTAGTGTCAGGCCTTGAAAAGAACATATCCAATTTTGAAGATAAGTTTTTGTTTTTTGCAAATTGCTTCCAACTTTGACAACTTGCCTACAAGTCTCATTGCAATACAATTTTGAAAAGGCACAATGAAAAATCTCAAAGCAGAGGCTGTAATGGAAAAAGCAATTCATTCTTAAATGAAGATGATGAGGTTGGTACTGTATTGCTTGAAACAGTGAGTGAATTTAAAACCTGAGTGAGAGTACAAATTCAGCCAAGATTTTTTGTTCCTTTTTGAATGGAAGGGGGTGCAACCAAGAAAGGCACACAACATGTGTACAATTTTATCAGTTTTCTGGTGTACTGTTTCCAATTTGTGTATGTATATACAAAGACATGAAATCATATGGATAAAATAAACTGAATTCTTTTTTTTCCCTCCCTCCCTCTTTTCTCCCTCCCTCTTTTCCTCTCTCCCTCCCTCCCTCCTTTCCTTTGGTAACAAATGAGGACCCATCCTATCTTTATTAGCTGCAAAACCTTCTCAGTTTCTCCCTGTTGAGGACATGCAAATCCTTAGGAAAGTAACAGGGAGTTACAGGTAGAATGTATTACAATGATCTTGAAATGATTGTAGAAAACATTAAGTATTTTTAAAGGATTTTTTTAGCTAAATGCTCAAAGTTAGTGAGGTATCAGCTAGGTTTAGAAATGCTTTATTTTATATTATTTTCATCATAATGATATTTTCATGATGAGATATTGCTAGTTTTATATTTTCTAATTGCCCAGTCTCTCAAGTTTAGCATTGCTGTGAAGGTGAAGATGGACTAATACCATTGATTTGACTATTTATACTTTTCCATTAAAACTTTATTCTAAATATACATTATTAAATTCACAGATTTATTTTCCATGAACAGATTAGCAATATAACTAAAGGAAACTAAAAGACATTATAATACATACATATTGCATTTGGATAATGTGATAGGTTCAGTCATTCTCTTCAATTTCCCCTCCTCTGTGATGGAAGCACACATGTACTCCCTTGCCCAGGCCTCATGGTTTCATGCCCAGCAGGGACCCTTTTCCCCACTTGACTCTGGGCTCAGCTATGTGACCTCTTTGGCCTATGAGCTGTTAGTGAATATGTCACAAGCAGAGGCTGGAAACATGGTTGTGCAGTCAGAGTTGCCGTCTTGCATGTTGGTGATCTGCCATGAAAAGGACATGCCATGGTAGTCACTGCCCGTTAAGTCTGGGTCCCAGAACAGAACGCCCCCCCTCCCCCATTGTGGGGGCACCTATATAAACCTTTAGCCAAGGACCAAGCCCAGCAGACCTGTAGTCTACCTGCAAACGTGAGAATAAATCTGCTGCTACTGTAGGCCACTTGTTTTATGGGGGCTGTTGCCCTGCACTGCCGACAGTGATGGCTGACACAGAGGCCAGGCTCGCGCTGTGCTGAAGGGCAGTGGTGCCACCGTCTGCTGGACTCATGGGTGAACATTGACTCGCCACCTACTGGCTTCATTGTTCTGGTCAGGGCTACTCTTTTCCAAACTTCAGGGTTGCCATCAGTAAAATGGGAATGCCACTTACCTCCCAGGAATGTTGTAAAAATAAGTAAGATGCATGCATGTCAGTCACTCTGACCAGTGTGAAGCAGAGAGTAAGAGCACAGTAGCCATGACTGTTACTGTGTTTCCAGACAGTTGAGCCTTCCTTCTCCCGTGCTCCCCTGGCTTCTGGTAGCTTTGCCACAGCCGAGCTCTGTGACTCTGAGCAGCTCAAAACACTTTCTGAGGCTTCCTTTTCTTTTCTATAAAATGAGGACACTAACACTTACCTGGCAGAATTATTAGGAGGACTAAGCAAAGGCAGGCAAATTTCTAACTGTCACAGTCTATTCAAGCTGCTCTAACAAAATAACACAGATGGGGAGGCTTAAACACTAACCATGTATTTCTTGTAGTTTTGCAGGCTGGGAAGTTCAAGGTCAAGCTGCCACAGGTTCCAAATTTAGTTAGAGGCCTCTACCTGGTTTGTAGATGGCCACTTCCTGGCTGTATCCTCACATGATGTGGACCAAAATCTCACATCCCTTCCTCTGGTTTATAAGCGCATTAATTCCATCTTGAGGGCCCCACCCTCGTGACCTCATGACCTCATAGTCACACCCTGATTACCTCCCAAAAGCCTCGCCTCCACAACAATTAGAATTAGAGTTTCAGTATGTGAACTGGGGAAGGGGGAGGGTAGAATCATTTAGTCCGTAGCACTAACCATGGTTAGGTGAGTGGGTACTTAGTAAAAGTAGCTTCATTATTATGTTCACTATCCATATATTCCTTCATTCCTTCTTTTATTTCTTTCTTTTAGCTGAAATCTCCATTCCTAGTTTTTGAGTGCCTACTCTGAGCTAAGCATAATCCCTTCCACTTTTGACTTTCCTCTGGGTTTCTAGATTCCCTGTGTTATTAAAAGGAAGGGCAAAGACTGTGGAAGGCAGAAAATGAAAGAATAAAAGTGCTGCAATTGGAGGTGCATGATATATTGAGAGTGTCATTCGAATATGTAATACTTGTGTATTAACTATATTTTTGTTCCTGTGGGCATGAAAAAGTAACTTTTTTGGAATAAGGGCAGCTATGAAGGGCAAAGAGTGGCTAATGTGGAGTCAGTAAAGGCTTTTGATTAGAGGATTGAAAAATGCTGCTTAGGAGAGATTTAGCAGGACAGTGCACGGAATGAGGTGGGCTGTGGAATGATGGGGGGCTCATATTTATAGCACGTCTACATCAATCAGTGTCACGGAGCCAGCACCAAAATGCCTTTGTTTTAACCGCCGAGCCTACCTTTCTGCCCACTGTTAAAGCGTTTGGATGTGATCTGGTTTGTGCCTGTTTTCCCCGTTTGCACAAGTCTTGTATACTGACTTGGCTATTTCACTCGCATGTGAGCATTCACTCACCACATCACCTATTAGCCCCTGGTACTGTATGCTTTCTGTCCAGAATTTGTTTTATAGAAAACCTGTGTCCTCAGCATACTTGCTTTGAAATTATTTTGATCTGCATCAGCTGGAATAGGTTTTGAGCTGTGGATATTACCTCCTGTTTGCCACTTTCTCTAGAAGCTAATTGACTGACTTGGGGTGGAGGAGAGATGAGAGTCTCTACACTTGACCAATTTCACAGAGCTTACCTTGCAAGCTATTGAAATGCAAATAGAGGCTACACTTAGAGACTCGAAGAAGAATTCACATATTTAGTTCTTTGTTTTCTTCTGAAAAATAAGCATTCAAAATTCATGCATTTTTCTATTATTCATGTGCTTCATATTTAGGTTCCGTGTGTATGTCTAGATAAATCTTATCACCATTATTTAAAATTTCATGAATGAAACTTTGCATCTCTAATGCCATACTAGCCTAGACAACTTGAACCAATCAAAATAATTTGATGTGTAGCACTTAAATGAGATCTTGTGTGTTTCTGTGTATATGCATTTACATATATATACCTATGTCATTGCCTTATCTACAGCTGTTTTTATTTAAATCTGCTCTGTGTAAAATGGACGAGAATTCAAAAGCTCCTTAGGTTATTTTATCCCAGAAAAACTTGAATTCTTAGAACGCGTTAGTTATAAGGCTTCCATTGTCTTTGTTTGATGGTTGTCTCGTTAGTGGTCCTGAAGCAGGACCCTCCCTCCTGCACTGTCTGTTCACCTGTATTTTCAAGGCGGCCATCCACCACTTCCCATTTGTCGGGGACCTTCAAAGGGTATTGTGTGTCAGCAAGGCAGTGCCCCTGTTAACTTGATCTTCTCTCCAGTTTAGCCTTCCTGGAACAGTTAATGATTCCAAGAATCCCCTTTTCCTGAGGCTGTGACCACTTTATCCATAACAGCGGGGAGAAGAAGGCTCCCAGCCAGATCCAGAGCCCTGCTCCTCTAGCTTCCTGCCCGCTGCCTCTTGGTGCCGGCAGTAACTGTTCCTGAGAAAGCCTTCAGTAGCGAGAGGCTGAGTATCCAGCATTATGTTTGGAAGAAGGGACACAGACTTAAGAAAAATCCTTTGTTAAGCCTTGTGTCCTCATAGAGGAATATTGGTGGTGCTCTGAATGAGCTTTCTGTCACTTTCTGGGAGCCATACGACAATGGACGCCTGAAGGTTCTGTAACTCTCAAGCAGGGTCATTGTGCTGGGAAACTAACACATGTTCATGTTCAAAATCGGGCCAGGGTACACCTGTGCCCATGCTTAGAGCAGAAAGGAGTTGCCCAAATATTGTGGCTGGGCACTCTTTCTTACTTTTAGCAATTACCTCTGTTTTCAGCCTCTTTTTCAGGCCCTCAGATTTGTGTGAGGGGATGTGCTGGGCTGGGGAGTAGTGGTGGTGAGCTGTGGCTGCATCATTTCCTGCCTCCTCACAGAGGAGGGTGTCCTTCATTGTAATAGTCCTTCCCGTCATTGTCAGATGCTTTCCTTAAGTTGTTCTCAACTGAAAGCTGGTGTGAAGTCTGGCATTCATCCTTAACGACTGGTTGGAGTCAGGTGTGTGTGTTGGGCGGGGGAGTGGGGAGAGCTGTTGGTTTCTGCTTCCCACAGTTTGCCCCCTGGGCATTCTCGGTTATGGGCTATGACCTTTTAAACCTTCAGGCACATGCTCATTTAACCTCGTTTCTATCTCTATGGGGAACAGCATTGCTTTGGACATAGCATAAGAACATTGATTTGATTTGAGAAAGCATCTTTGGATTTTATATGTATGTTGAAAACAGTGATTGTCTACATTCTTCCAGAACCTTCAGTTCTTCCTGTTATTCACTTATGAGCTATGAGAAGTGTTTTAGCTCTTGATCGTTGGACCAGTATCATGGGAACATTCATTCACTCACCCAACAGATATTTGCCTTGTGTTTTTAATTTGTGCAAAGCTTGGTGATGCAAGGGCATTACAAGCTCCAAAGCCTTTTATCTTCGGGAGCTTATGACCTGAAAGTGGAGATGGCAAACTAGTAACTAAAAAATTATCTGCAGAGGGATAAAGTGTTAGGATAGTTAGCCAGTCACATAGCAGGTGCTTAATAAGTGGGCAAATGGATGGACGGACAGACAGACAGACGGGTGGGTAGGGTGAGTGTATTGGGTTCCATGGGGGCACATAAGAGGACATACACCCAGTGATGGGACTGTCAGAGGCGTAACATCAATGATGGAGGGTGGAACCGATTTCTGTTCTGTTCCCTTTAAGTTTCAGGAAGTGCAAGGAGAGAGATCTAGGAGACAAGAAGACTGTGTATGAGCTTGAAGAGATAAGGGCAGAAATGTCTTGGAGATAGAGATCTGGGGAGCATGATCACATGGGTGTTGAGCGAAGCCTTGGGCATGGGTGAAACCATCCAGTGAGGGTATGAGAAAAAAGGAGGACCTAGAAAACTACCCTGATCCATAGGGTCAATAATATTTAGGAACACTTTGTTAAAGACCAAATTAAATTTAAAAATAGAGAGATTGATTTATTTGACATTATTTATTGGCTCCTGCTTTGCACTGGGACTTGAAGGGTACTGTCACAAGAGCCATGGTAATGTCATACTTACTGAGCTTCTAGGTGCCAGGCACCATTCTGAGTGCTTCACACGTGTCAGCTCATTTCACTTCTACAAAAAGCACTTGAGACAGGCACTGTCACCCTCTCAGTTTTCACTAACCTTTCTGGGTCTCAAAGATCATACAGTTACCTAGTGGCAGAGCCTGACTTTGAAGACCTAGATGCCAAGATTCAAATCTGGCCATTTGACCACATTCCTAACGGTCTTATGATTTTCTTTTCCCCTCTGAGGTGGGCAAAGACAGACAGCCCAACTGATTATTATGATCTACTGTGACACGCTCAATAGATATTGTACCTAGGATAGTATGGAAGTCTAGTGATGGGTCAGCAGAGTGGCGAAGGGAATAAGATGGGTAGAAGTAGTAATGAGTTCCATCGTCCATACTCCCCCAGTGACCTTGTGGAGCCAACGCTATGTTGTATTTTTGCAACTCTAAGCTTAGATATCAGCTCTGGATATTTTATCCATGGAAGGCAGGATGAAATAATGCCCACTGCCCTAAGAGGTAGGCTGTCTTAGGCAATGGAAGGTCTGCTAATTTATTGTTAGAAATTAACAACTTGTGTTCTGGAGAAAATATAGCTAATCAATAATTGTAATTAGGTGATTATATAAGGAGAGGTACATTATACTTTAAAATCCCTGAAACATTCTCTTGAAAGCTAGAAGAACTTCATATACTAGTTGGTGCAGGGAGGCCCATGCTGGTGAACAGGGAGAAGTGAAAGGCAAAAAGATGAAAGACTTTATATTTTAGTTACTATTTAAGATAATCTTCTTCAAAGAGAACATGAAAAACCTCCAAAGAGATCTGGGGATAAAATGGTGTCTAAGAACACTTATTGCTTTTATTATGGAAAATAACTTTGAGTTGGAGCCTATAATTTTGTATGACTGACCAAGTTGAGACCTTAACAGAATCAGAAGACATGGTCCCCTGGTGCTGAATACTCGTGTGGCATCCATTCCTTTCATGCCTCTGATTTGCATCTGGTTGTGGCAACGCTAACTCATATCCAGGTCTAGGGAAGCCTGTGATGTAAACTGGGCCAACCAGCATCTTCTGTCCTGGAGATCACTGTGGCCGCAGGGATGGCATGGGACCAAACTTGAGTCTGGTAGTGCGAACGTGTGACCCTTGACTGGGAATGTCAAGGCAAAGATGCTTTTTTTTGTTGGGCATTAATTAGGAAGTGCCTAGTCTAAGTGTAGCTTGAAGCTATTTTGGATGCATGAGGGAAGCTTGCTTTAGAAGGATGAAAATGTCATGAACAGTAGGGCCAAGAGATGGGAAGAAACCAGGTCCTCAATAATATAAGGCTGCTGAATCCACGTTTTAATTAAAGCCATGGGTAACTTCTTTATATTGCCTGAGCTGCTCCGTAGTGGGTACTGTAGTTTGTTACTTAAAAAAGAATCCTATTTTCTGGTTTTATTTAGTTACTGCTTGCTCC